TTCACCGTTGACTTTGGTTTTCTGATACCTATTAGTCCAGTAATCTCCCATCCATGCAAGAACATTTCCTTTTATACCATATTTTTCACATTTCATCAACAATCTAACTCTATCAAAGGTTTCAAAAGCTCTTTGCAAGTCCACAAATACACTAATTACAATATTTTCATCACCAATTTTCCTTTTCCAGTTATTTCAAACCAACTGACAGGCCATCTCACAGGAATGATGTCGCCTGAAACCAAATTGGTTGATGTACAATAAATTATTCACCTTAAGATGTTTAGCCACCTGTTCATGAACTATTATTTCAATTATCTTATCAACAACTGGAATATATTTATGTTTATATCTTGAACCGAAAAGAATTAACAATGTTAGGTTAAGTGCTGATTTCACACATATGACACAAGGTTCTTCAATTTTAACTACTTTTGTTCATTTGCTAAAAATGTAACAACTTGAATTGCATCGATGAATATCTGTCTTTCTATCTATCTAACGTAAACAAAATTCCCTTGGGTTTTTGCCAACGTGTGTTATTTCGTACAATTCTTAATTCAATTTAAAATTATAACAGGAAGAAGTAGAAGTGTTTTCGTTATTTCTGCAAGTTTTTTTAATATATTCTGAGTACACTGAAATAGAACAGCGTGTTCTTGTATCTATAAATAATAGTATATAAATAAAAATAAAAAACAGGGATATTTCTCTTCAATTATACATCTGTCTTTTTCTTCTACAGTGCTCATAATTTTAATCAAACATAGACAAACAATTCATAGACATCTACGTTGTATATCTTGCATATAAAACATTCCAATTAATTATTAGATACATCCCTACGTTCGATGTAATAGCACTACAGTTTTCGTTTAATTCTACTGATTTATGCAGAAACGAGCATTACATTATTATACCTACACCCCGCAGGAGCTTCGTATAAGACATCTCCAATATTATGCATTGTTTCTGTGCAATAAATTTCCATTTGAATTCTCCCTCGAAAATGAGATACGTATTTCAGAATAACATCTCTCATCCCGAGCTGTTCGTTTCGTTATAGAAGAAAATTTGAAGAAGAGTATCCTCCTATGTGACCCCATTTTGTCCGACGCGCCATTATCTTCCGTGTAGGTACCGAATACGCGATATTCTGAAATGCTGATATAAGCATTCCGTAAACGAGGAGTTTCTGAGCGCATGAGATATTGAAGATGTGTTATATTGAAGCTCGACAGACGAGAATTTATCGTGAAACAGTGCAAATTTCTGTCATAGTGTAACGATACGTGATTTTGTATCCGGTATGTCCGTGGTACTAACGTCATTTTATTTATGTTATTACAAGTATGGCGGATGAAACAATAATATGTACTTAACTCACCAAAGTACTGCAATTTCGTAACATGTGGTTTAATGCGCGACTTAACAAGACTTGAGTTGAGTGAAATCTTCATGATGTAGGAATTGGTAGTCCAGTAAAGGATGGTTTCAAATTACCGTTTTGAAGATATTTTTGAACTATATGTATTTTATTAAATATTTAACGGATATCTATATGAAAAACGTTGAATTTCAAAAAATGTTGAATCAGTCGAAAAAGGAGAATACGATCCAAAAATTATTTTTTTCGAAATATTTCGAAAGGTGTGAGATGAAGTAGAAGGGATTAATCTTGAAACTTTTTCAACCTTAAAAACTCACCCTCTCCTACTTTCCGACCGAAGATCCCCGTAAATCATTCTGCCTTTCATTTTCGTTATATTATCTTCTTTTTCATTACTTTCATACTACTGTAATTTCCATTAGGTTTTTGTCATTTGCAAAGGCTCTATACCCCCCCCCTTCGGCCTGTCTGTTGATATTTTTAGTAGAAATACATATTCTTAGCAGGCTATGTCTAAATTTTAAAACAATGGGAAACTGATTTAATAATTGAAAATTCATTTCTTGCCTCCTTTGGGCTATTAATTAATAATAATTTGAATTTTCACTATATTGCAGTAATAATGAAAGATGAAAAAATCACCTATTAAACATCTATGACAATCAAGTTTTTCTTTGACAATCAGAATGGTTAGGAGGGCCATTCCCAGTTTTGAATTGAAAACGGTTAGAGACATTACTAACCGAAACGTCGTTTGAATTTTATTTCTGAATCATTATTCAGTTCATTTTGTTCTATTTTATTTGTATTTATCTGAAATTTATTTGAATTATTTCCGTTAATTTTCATTTTATATTTCTGTTTCAGACTTCGGGACACTTATCAATGTTTTGTCAGATTTTTCAGTTCAATTCGATTAATTTTACCAATTAATTTTCCATATAATCGAAATTTTGGTTCAGATTTTGAACTCATAATTATAAGCAATGAAAGTCCGACGAAATAACTGATAAAATAAATTTTGTACATATGGTTGTATTTGAATATTTGTATCTAGGGAATGTAGGTATAATATACCCACTCCAATTTTCTTATTGTTCGATGTTATATCATTGTTGGTTGGATTGGGGATAATTTTAGTATTTTTTCGAAGAATTTATCGAATACTTATAGGATGAGATTTATAGAACTTAATTGTATATAAAGTTTTCAATTTTTTCTGATCAATTAAAGAACTTTTCAATTTTTCTCAAATATGAAACATTCATTAAATTTGTCTACGTTTCAAGTATATTGATTCAATGAAATTTCGGTACTGTTATAGTTTAATTCGTGCATAGTTTAATTTCAATATTTTGAGTAAAGGTACGGAAATTCTTGAGTTTTTGCGTACTCATGAGCGAATTCGTTCTCCGAATTCTGTGATGTGTGTCCTAAAAAGCTTTCATTTCAGTGAACACCGCATGAGTCGTTTTTTCTTTTATTGTTTGGATTGAAAAACTGTTATTATTAGTATGTTAATGTGTCCATTCTTATTGCCACATTGTTAATAAGTAATGTACGACAGTGAACGTTGTTAATGTCAAAGCAACAATTGTGGTGAGACCTGTGGGAACCTGTGGTGAGATTGGCCAATCAATAGTAACGATATTTGGTTGAAAAGAACTCAAAACGAACTCTATCAAACGACAAATATTATAACGGAAGAAATCCGAAAACAACGACCAAACTTTTATCTCAATGTCTACTGGTCGGAACAGTGCAGAATATCGAAGAAAATACTGGATATAGTAACAGAAAGTGAATGAGGTACACAATGGCTAAAAGAGGTACAAACTGAGGAAAGTTTTCGTTAATTATTCCTCAACATTAGTAATCGTATTTGGTTTTGATAATTCCTTGAAATGTTGGACTTGATGTTAATTTCATTTGAAAAAAAATTGAAATTAAAATTAACCTAATTTCGAAAGTACTCTGTTGATTCAATAATTTCTAGATGTGAAATTGCTAAATATGTGATATCATACAAAGGAGAAGGATCTCACAAATGTGACCAGCTGTGACAAGGACTGAGGTGGTCGTAAAATCATGAAATTCGGTCGGTGGGGTAGAATGGAACAATATTTCATCATATAAAATTTTTCTCATTTTATTTCAATATCTAAAATAGACATTTTATTTCTGCTGAACATTCCAAACTTCACATTAACGATTATGAAAATTATAATCATCAAAAGAGTAATCCCTTCAAAAAAGTATTCTTCAAACCGAATGTTATCAGGCATATTCAATTCAGATCAGAAGACTACGATCTGTATTATTTCAATATTCCAGATATTCTTCAAAGCCAAGCGGGTGAACGTCTCATTTGAAAGGTTTATGGATGAAAGCATTAATTATTCCGCAGATGTCCCATTATACGTCAAAGGATATGAACAATAATTACCATATCGTAAGATCAAACAATTAAAAGTTGTGCTTCGAGATTAGAAACTTCCACCGTATTATACTCAGATTTCCAACTTCATAAGAGTTTGATATTGAAAGAGTAGTGTTGTTGACAGTACGAGCTCAAAAGTTAAATATTGCTATGATATCGACATGAATAACACAAATATGAAAATATGATTCAGGATAATGTTATTAACGACGTTTTAATCCAATACATTAAATTAATGTACCAATGAAAATAACCGCAGTTATAGGTACAGGGCGCAGTTTAGATGAAAGAACCAAGATAATAGATAGGGAAAATCGACATAAAATCAACACTCTCAGTTATAATAGGATCATTTCCTTAATAAATATGAAAGTGGACTGACTGTGTTTCAATAATAAGCATGTTCTTTCAACTTCTTACACCTTTTTTACTCTATATTGCTTTTCGATAATTACAATTTTTGAGTAGAAAGAAACCAGAACGATTTATTATGTTTAAATACACACTTAATATTTTCTCTAGATGAACTTTAATTCACTGTTGAGTTTCCTATAAAATGGAGATCAAATTCTATTTTTGACCAATTCTACGATATGATGGAGTAGCATCACGTACAATCGCGAGTCTCTAAACACGTCCTGAATTTTTGAAGTACTCATTGAGGAAAAAAGCCCTACTAATGCATACATAATAAGTAAAAAGTATATGCATCTATGAATAAATGAATTTAGTGTTATAGCTCTGACAATGTTGAAAGTCCCAACGAAACGTCAGCTAGAAATCTTGTTCTTGAGGAAAATATTATGAAAACTGAACATATACATCAACATCAACATACAACAGAACAGAAAACCATTCTGATCTAATATGTAATAATAATAACAATATACAATGTTTGGGTTTGAAATTATAGTATTTCGTTCAAAATGCTTGTTCATTAATAATAATTTAGAACAAATTTCCTGAAATAAAAATATAAATTTACAATTACGAAGACCGAAGACTGTAGAAAGTAATTCGAAAATTTTTTCTTACGTATGTATGTATTGTTTTTTTTTAATTCAGTGTACCTACAAATTAACGCCGGTTCCGACATTGATAATAATGTACATTACCCAGAATATATCATTATTTATAACAACCCAAATCATAGACAAACACAAACACCCATACCTTCACCGGGGCTCGAACCCGAGTTCTACCGCACTAGATTTCCTCCATTTCACCCGACTAGGCCACGAAGGCCAGCTATGTATTGTTAGTCACAAGAAAACTTGATATGACTGTATGGGAACATATTTTTTCATCACATGAAATGAATTTGTTTTTTTTCATCATTAAAAGAATTTGCAGTCACGACGACTTTCAGCATTCACTTTTCAGAATACGTCAATGTCTGAATTTGAAGTACTCATATATATTTGTGAAAGAATCAATAAATTGTCTGTCTCTAGGTTCAAGAATTAGACACATCGAGTTGAGCGAAAATCATTGTATGTTGCTCCATTATTCTGATACATTAGTATCAGTCTGGTTCCATGTTATGATGGAAGGTTCATATGAAAGTTAATGCTTCAAATGAATACGTTCCAATGAAACATAAGTTTCCACACGTGGCACGTTTCGTGAGGTCACCGACTTCTTCAGGCTCTAACAGACTGTGATTTAACAAAAAATTTGCCTGTACTACAGGCGGTTTTCGAACCATAGAGTTATTCTAAAAGGCCTTCCGTATTTAACTATAAGTGTTTTACTCGAAAATGTTAAACCCTGTTCAATCATTCATTTCCGATTTCTCATTGAGAAAATGCTCAGAATTTTTGAGTGTATTGATTTCTACCATCCATTGGTTATGTTTCTATTCATTGTTATTTAAAAAACATTTCACTTAATGCACTAATCTGAATGTGAAATTATTATAGGCATTTCTCACGATAAAAATTTGATCATTATTGTTGTCATCATTATATAACAATAATATATATAACAATGTATACATTGTTATAATGTTTACATTGACCATTTCCACTACCGAATATTTAATATTTCAGAGTATGTGGTTTTTTCTGTGTCGGGATATTGAAGGAATAATGCGAATTTGTTTTTCTATTTGCTTCTAAGGATCTAATTTCGACAGTTTCGAAATTGTGTCAAAATATTGGAAGCGAAACGAATTCCTTTCAAGTCGAATAAATCGTGTCGAAATTTGCAAATGTCGCTAGCTCCGAGAATTTTCGGAAGCACGTCTGAGGCACCGCGGCCAATATGGAATGAAATAAATTTCAGACCAGATCAATTCAGCAATTTCAGAAATATCACAGCATTCATCATTTTTCGAGGAATTGTGAGCCAGAGTGAAATCAAATTTTCCGCTTCATAATGGATACTACTGAAGTCTTCTAATGAAACGTTTTATTTCTTCATATCTAAGCAATTTCATAGTTCTGGCTCTCAAAATGTCATATTGTTCGACAGCATGTCCCCGTATTTACTTAGATATTTAGCCATATATTTATGGGATAAACACAATCCATGTCGTGTTGGAATTAGGACAAACTTTTCGTGATGATTGGTATAGTCACCTTATAACGTCTTCGGATTACTGATACGGGTTCGATTCCCACCGTGTTTTGAAAGGCATCGACGTTTTACTGTAGCTCCAAAGCTTAGAGCTTTATAGGTATCAGCCCTACGCTTTTTGAAAAAAGATAATACTGAATTGTGTTCTCATGAGCAAGCTGTGTCAAACTTAGAGACATCTTTAACAAAAACTTATGCTTAACGGTATGCTTGAGAACTGAATTTTTCATGTGTTTTATTGGTCATTCTCCTGTTGGAATGAAGGAACTCATTGTTTTTGAGTAAATTTCCATTTTACTTATCATGTTTCCAACTGTCCGATTATGGTAAAATATGCACTGTTTTGTTATATAATTTGTTGACGTTTTTCAGGTAGTTTCGTAATGCCCCTCTCATTGAAGTCTTACTTCTCATTGGCAAAACACTTTAGTAATAGATCCCAACTTCTCATCATTCGGGAAAACATGATGATAGTATGGTGCCATGTTCCTACTTTATGAAGGATGCGTTAAAACATTCAAACCTGGCTTCCAGAACTTTTGGCAAAACACAGACGTGCCCGATGTGGCGTTGTCCTGATGGAACACAACATCTCTTCAATTCTGGCCATTCCTGGTCGATTGCCACCTTCAAACTGTATCTGTTACTGCTGACTGTAGAGATTGGAATTTCGTGTTTGGCTACGGAAGCAACTCATGAGATTATTCCTTTAGAGTCTTAGCAAATACACAGTAGAGCTTGCCTAGCCGTAAGTCCTGGTTTGGTCACGATTTGATCACGATTGTTTTCGCACAATTTTGTTGTATGACCTATTCCTTTTCCCAATTCACCATCTCTTCAATAAATGTGTCTACTTCATTTCGTTTGACAAGACTTAGCACGTTGAAATCGCGCAAATCAATTGAAACTGTTTCATGGTTGATCTTCAGCTTCTGGCTGATGCAATGACTAACATGCCATTTTCGATTATTTCTGTGATTTTAGTGACATTTTTGACGATGGGCCTGTACAAGGTGCATCTACAACATCAAAAATAGCTGAACGGAATCAATGAAACCAAAATTGCACATTGTACATTGCTCTGTTGGTGGCTTATTCTCTAAGTGGCTCATTTCGCCAAACAAAATGCTCTCAGGGAACTGTCTACACAATTGTTGTCAACGAGAACGAACCCATCACTTTCGAGAGTGAATATTAGGAGCGTTTCGAAAAGTTCATCGATCTTGTTGAATGATAATAGGATACAATTGTTTCATCATTATTATGAATCATCAGTCCATATTTAATCAATCAATTAAGAGTCGATTAAGACTTTCGAAACGAACATAGGTCCTATACCGAATTGAGGACAATTTTACCGAGTGAAATATTCACTTAGGCTTCCTCTATCGGAGAAAGGACGTATAAACTCTCCTTGCCGTTCAAGATTCCTACTCATGACAACAAAAGTGAGAGTAGAAGGCTTTGTAGATATTTCATTCGAGCACTACAGAAAAATGTCCGCAATGTGTACGAATGATCCCATGCCTAAACGCTCCAGATCACGCCCTAGCGGGCAAAATTGTAGCTAGTTTCAAGATTTACAAGTCATACAATACTAGTATATACTGAGACTTTTAATCGAAATATCGAAATATTTCAAATAAAATTCTCAGGTAGCTGTAAACACAATTGTTGTGAACGAGAACGAACCCATCACTTTCAAGAGTGAATATTGAAATATTTCGATTAAATGTCTCCGTATTTACTAGTATTGAATGACTTGTGAATCTTGAAACTATATATATATATATATATATATATATATATATATATATATATATATATATACGCCTTCTGCATAGTGTTACAAAAATTGCATCGAATATTGCAATGAAATATAAAATAATAATAATAAAATAACAAGTTTGGAAACAAGTCCATAATTTTTTACCGTTGTTTTGAGACATACATTATATCAAAATAAAGTGATGAACCCAAACATGAAACAAGTCCAAACACGCATACACAAGTACTTATCTGATAACTGTTAGTGATCATCACCACTTCTGCCCACATTATTCCCACTCAAACGCAACGAATGATGTTCTAAATACATATATTTAGTACCTATATTATGCGCGAGCGAACATATTTGTTTTATCCATAATGGTATACACAATTTAATTTTCTGCGAATATATATGTCTTAGGCGTTCTGTAATGCATACGTGGAAGACGTATATATCCATCATAGTCACTTAAGAGGTTAAACACCAATGCATCAACAACAGTACGTTTGCTGGTTAACAGTCAACAGCAGTATGAGATGATAAAGAAATAGTACGAAGTTTTTATGAAACTGTTCATTCCTCATGTAAAATATATATTTTTCCTCATTTACGTTGGATGGACAAAAAAAATTTCGTACCATCACAAAATAATATCATCAGTTATTACCAGTAATAATTGATGGCATCAATTATTGGTCTGATGTTATTAAGATTTGATGTTATATCACATATGTTTTTTACCAGCATCTAATCTTTTTCACTGAAGAGGTATTTTCGCCATGCAGAACTGATGAAGAACTCATTCATGAATCGCATTCAAAAGTCCAAATTTTTACTAATTCAAATACCACAATAATATGCATGCATTCCATTGAATCCAAACAGCTGGTGATAATGCAAAAATACACTTAAAGTAACAGTGGATGAAAAAAATTGCCAAACCACCATCGTCGGGCATCACTTTATATATATATATATAGGTATATATATATATATATATATATATATATATATATATATATATATATATATATATATATATATATATATATTTATATATATATATATATATATATATATATATATATATATATATATAAATAATATAACCTTCATTCGAAAAATTCAGATTAATCAAGGTGATGTTAAAGTAGAGCTAGCTATGTTAATGTGTATGATATGGTGCCCTCATTATCCTTCACGGTATAAATGTCAGAAAAATATTGAAATCGAAACCTCACCTGATAAAAGTACTATTAAGGCAACGATTGCAATCTCCATGCAACGTCTTATGACTGCAAAAGTGAAGAACCGTTAATTAATGAATACTACACAATTCCATCAATAGGAATCAATAGAATACATTTTAGAGATCATAGATACATCAAGCACCGAACGTTCACACGTCTTCTGTACCCGTAGGTATCTAATAAATTGCAACGTCTGTTGGAAAAATGTCATCATATGATGTTTTCTATTGTCAATAGGTTGTGTTACGAAATGGAAATATGCAGATGCACACACAAAAATATATGTCAATACATATATGTGCACACACATACATATAATTTTTGTGCTTATTCGTTCGAAATATTGAAATTATTGAAAAGAAGTAGACCTAGCTATGCCAATATGTACGATTTGATGCGTCCATTATCCTTGAGTGAATAAATGTTAGACAAATAAAGAGCTCATATTATAGTTATCTATGTTGGCCATTCATTAATTACAATGCATATTGATTATATACGATAATCCCTTGTCAAAATAATTTGGACTGGCATAATCCATTTCAGCGTGAATTAAACTAAAAATGAATATGAGGATGTGGAGTATTTGCAGGAATACCATATACATATAGAATTCCTTTAGATTTCATATAAACACGCAAAAT